AATATGTAGCTAACTTTATAAATTGGCCTTAAAGTAGATATTTATCTGAAGACATAGTATAAAAGGTATCGGTTAAAGTTAAGCTTTTTCGCACTCCAGGCTTTTTATTACTAGCTAATTGTATCAAACATAGGCCAATATAAATACTTTTGGTCAGATTTTCTCTCCTGTGTAACCTTCATAACCTTCGTGACCTTCTCTCTGGATATTAAGTTTATACTGATAGACCTTTGCTTTTGATGTAAGCATAATTCACCTTTACTATATATATATATATATCTGCATATAACTTATTGTTTATTTATTATAATGCCTTTACCTCATCCCTGTTGGTAAACAGCACAGATCTTAGGTATGGCAGCGGGCAGTGTTCGCAGCAGCGCGCAGAGAGTCTCTTCTCTCTCACTTGATACAGTCGGCAAGAGCGGTTTATCTTCTTCCGCTTCTGAAATCCTTGATCCCAGGAGTTCTCTTGATGCATATGGATCTGGTGAAATGGGGAGGCATGCTTCTTTTGGCTACCCTCCACCGACCTCATCCGTTGGAGATAGGGATGAAGATTTAGGTTCATTAGGTTTTTTAGGGGCTCCGGCAGTTGGATCTTCAAGTAACACTCAAGATCCGGGCAGTCAGCCAGTCAACGAGTTCCCACCAAGCATGCAGATACTTCTGGCTCTTTTATTCGCTGCTACTGTGGTCCTCTTAATCGTCTGCATTGCCTTTACCTGCCGACCCGATTCTCCACTGGCCAGGGCACCATCGTGTTGTCAGTTTCTCTGTTGCCGTGGTGTTGGCAAAGCAGGTGGGTGAGCTTGTCTTGAGGCGACTTTACTTCATAAATCATGGGCATACCTTCATTTATGCCTACTGCAAGCCCAAGATTTGCCGAGTTAGGCTAAATCTAATAATAGAAAATAGTCAGTAATTTAAAATTTCGTTTTTGATGGGATTAACAATGTACAAACTTATTACAGTTTCATACGAATGACGGTTAATTTCCCTTAAGTGAACGATAAGTAAGTGTGGCGATAGAAATAGCCGTCAAAATGCAAAATGTCTGTTTTTATTCTACATTTTCTAAGATTTCT